GGCTTCCCCTAACCCCAGCCCTGCGGCCACGGAAGCAATGTCAAAACCCACCGTTGCGTGAAACAAGGAAGTGCCGGGGAGCCCTGGGGCCTCTGACGATAGGGATAAGAGAGGAGCGGGCGAGAGGGCCCTGGTTCAGCCCCACCAAGAGGACACCCATGGTGCCGTGGAGGAAGCGCGACGCGGAGCCTCGGGAAACCGAGGACCCTGGCGCCATCCTGCTCGCTGAGCTCTTGGGGGGAGCCTCACCTTCAATATTGCTTCATAGGGGAGGATAACATCATCCTCTGCCTTTACTATTGTGCAGTCATAAAATTCTTCAACACAGATCGTGTTGGTTTAGTTTTCTTCCAAATGAAAAGTTTAATTTAAAAAAAAAGAGGCGAGAGCAAAAATTGGTACAGGAAAATAACTGAGCTGCTTCAGATAAATTAATGCATTGCAGGAGGAAGGAACAGGATCCTGCTGTCTACTGTAGATAGTTGTAGTCTCTCTTATAATCTGTTCCTTATCATTTTTATTGCTTAAGTTTGCTCCCAGTGTCTCAACAACATGAATGCAACAATGTGCCTAGAGCTCTACATAGTGTTTCGGGCTCTGTAAAGAAAGTACTGAGGACATGAGAGCTCTCCATTCTTATACTGCGGTGCTAATTTATGTCCCATTCACTTTCTTCTACCGTACTTGAGTCTTTCAGCATTGCTGCTTCTGAGCTTACTTGGAGTTTGATAATGTCATTCGAGTTGCTTAAGTCTGTCAAAATCAGGAACCTCTTGCTACATCCTAATGAGGCTCTTGCTGGAAACAAAATGCAGGTTCAGAATAAAGAGGTGCTACGTTTCCAAACTGTAACGACAGAGATGCCAGATGATGGGCAAAGCCTTGCTGGCTCCCGTGAGTGCTGGCCCAGGGCCAACACACTTCAAGAATTCAACCCTTGCCCCTAAGCACACAAGTCCTGCCAAGATCCTGAAACAGGAGACTGTGTAGAGATGCAGACTAAGGCATCTCTGCAGAGGAAAGGCTCAGTGGAGATACAGTTGCACAGAAGCTGGAGCATTTCTCAGGAAAAGGAAAGAAAATTCAGCTTCGCTTTTAATGTCTGGGAATGGCTGGAAGCTGATTTATATCAGCTTGGCTTTCAGTTGGTTCACACACAAGCTTTCTCTTTGTACAGGAGTTCCCACACTCCTGTATGAAGAGATCAGTTATACAATGTTTTCTCAAGAAAATCAAGAAGCAAATGGTCCGGGAAGCTAAAGTCAAGTTGTACAATTAGATATCCCTAAAAATGGGGAGGAGAAAAAGAGTATTATTTTAGCTTATACCACACTCCAACAAGGGCTTTGAAAGCCAGGTATTTTTGAACTCTGCTTACCTTTCTTGTGATGATCTCAGGACTTCTGATTTCAAACAGATTAAGCCCTTTGCTGTTCATCAGTGAAGTTAAAGTCAGTTCGATGCCTACAGAACCAGTAAAACCATGCGGTTGCAGGTATAGCCTTCCTGGCTTGATGTTCCTCATGTACTGTGACCCACCTGCCCACGGCCAAAAGTTAATTGTACCCCAACGCCCCTTAACCTTCAGCCTGACGGGAAACTCACTCGTACCAACCATTTACAAAGGGTTCCCATTTCCCAAGTGAATCTAGCAGAAATCCCCACCAGTAATGTGAGATTCCCCTTAGCTGCAAGGGTTATTGCTCTGTTTTTTTCAGTGCTTAGGATTAAGGAGAACTGCTGTTAGACACTTTATTGAGTACTTTGGCACTTCTATAAAGGGAAAACTCACTTGAAATCACTTCTGGGATCCCGGTGACCAAAATCATTTTCTGCAGGAAGTTTCTCATGGATTTGTCATTCTGAAAGCCAGAAAAAAAAAAAATACATAAAGGTTTTACAGGCATAGTTTAGCAACAAATGGCCTAGAGAACGCATGTTAAGGACTTACCCTGCTTGGATCGGCTGTGCATTTAAAGGCTTTAAATTCTGTCCTGAAGAGAAGGAAGAAGAGGGGGAAAGCAGGTCAATAAGGGCTGCAGAAATCTTTTCCCTGTTGTTCTCAGACATGGGCTAAAAGGAGCAGTGAAACGCTCAAGAGATCCCAGTACCAACCTGGAGTCCAAAGGGTGCAAAATTAGTTTCTTTTCCGCATAGGCAGCTTGGATAGTGACCGTGATTTCCTGCACAGAAATGAACCGCATAGTTTAAACATAGCTCACCTTGCCTTATAGCAGGACTTACATTTGGAAATTCTGGTTTATTTGCTACGACCGAATGTTCAGCATCTCTCTGGCTTCACCGCCAGATACTGTCAGCATTTTCCTTCTGCATTTGCATGCAAAAATGCTCCCTGATGCTCCACAGCCCCAGCCTATGGGGCACTAGACACTGGCTTAATCTGAGAAGCCCCATATGTAAGTAACCACTCTGAGGATTCATACTGAAAGAAAGCATTAGAAGGTCCCTCGACCATCCTTGTCACACTCCACAGAACTGATGTTTTGCCATTTTACTGAGTCCTGTGCAAGGAAAGAAGTGGTTACTGAGGGTGCTGTTTTGCAATGTCCATCTCAAGCTGAAGGGTCATCAGACCGATGGGGGAAAGTCTACCCCCAGGGTTTCCAGGGCTACCACAGGCAATCTTGTCACAGCCAAATTAAAAAAGAACAGCCTGTTGCCATTTACAGCCAAATTAAAAAAGAAACAAACCTCTGAGTCCTGGCCATTTATGCTTATTCCCTCCTTTTTGTCTGTATGCAAATGTTTGTTAGAAAGGAGCATTCTGTTATCCAATTGCAGGTCATCACCAGGGCTTTGGCAGGCCAGGAGCAGACCACATCCTGCGAACCACCATTTCAGGGACCTCTGGTTAGGGTCTTCCACAGCCCTACTCAAAGCTGTCTCAAGCACACAAAAACCGGCTCTGCCTATTTCCCCCAAATACCCTGCTAACTCATCTCATTGTGACACCTGCAGAGAACGGGAGGGAATATTCTTAGTAACAGCCATGCGGGAGACTGAAACTTAACCCTTTAAAAAAGTTGCAGTCTATCCCCAGGCAAGGATTTGCTTCCGTGCAGTGCTTAGTGCCTACAGCAGCTCATAATTACAGGGCTGGATAAACATATTGCCTTCTTGTGAGGTTACCCACCACCGCAAGGCTGTTGGCATTTCTTTTTGCTGCCTTCTTAGATTCAGTATACAGCAAAGTACTTGGTTTGGGGTAAACTGCAGTGAACTTCTATACAGGGACACACAGAGGAAAAGGTTGTATTTTGAGTCTCTATTTCTTTAGAGCTATATCTTCATTTCAGAGAGAACCACCCTCTAAGTGGGGATCAGAGATAGAATTTGGGGACATGGAGTTTTCAAAATTAATACATTCCCTCAGTGTCGCTGTTCTCTCCTGAAATACTGCAGTTAAAGGAGTTTCTTTCCCCTTGTATCGAGACAGGTTCGTGGAGGCTCACCAGAGCTTTCTGGTGTTGCAGTTACCACCTTGCACACCAGTGATGTGCTGGCCTAGTACAGTAACCTACATCTCCTATCATCATTCCCAGCCCTAAATATCAGGGAAAGATGGGAGCATTAAAAGGATCTGGCGTTCTCCACTTCCCATAGCTCAGCAGCCATCCCCTTTTCGAAAGGCTCCCAGCTGTTAATGTCCCTGAGCACCAGGAGTGGTCTAGACTCAGGACAAGGCCTGTCCCAAGATCTTTGCAGCCAGGAGAAGCAAGAACTGACCTTCTCCATATACAGAGCCACCAGGGGCTCTTTCCCCGGGGGAAAGATGCTGATCTCCACAGCTACCACAGACTTCACGACTGTCCCTTCGGGCTGGACAGAGATCTGGGGACGGGTGAGACTCCACACCTTGGCCACAGAATCATTGTAGGAAGTGCCTTGAAAAATCTGGTTCAAATAAAGAGCAACAGAGGAGCCAGGCTTTTGCCATATCTCATCTCAGTTTCATGCCAACTTGCCGCGCAATTGCATCCCCTTTATAGTACCCAGTTACTCCTCCAGCTCTCACAGGCCCTAGCTGGGCTTCAGGGAAGCTGTGCCTACATGAAGGCTGGAGAAACCCTCCCTGCAAAGCACAACAGTTCCTCCATCAGCCCCTGGACTGAAGCAGGTTTTACCACTCCAGACTCTTGAGGCAGGAAGGGAAGGACATGAGATGTTATAATGCAACACAGAATCAATTTGGAAAGTTCTTTGTTCCACATGAAGAGCTTTGAAGAGGACCAAAAGTTACCATCTGCACCGCCTTCCGCTGGGTCTCTGTCTCTTCGATTTCAAACAGGGCCTTCAGAAGCAAATCAAAAATAGATTTTAGAAAAACAAAAGAAAAACAAAACAGATTTTAGAAAAACACATAGTCATGGTTAGTGTGAATCCAGCAGGTTGGATGGGCCAAAACATGAATGTGTGGCCTGCAGCCAGTTCAGAGGCATGGCTGGATTCCTCCTGAATTCACCTTTCCACCTCAGCACCTTCACGGAAAAATCAGGCTACTTTACAACTCAGTAGACAAATTTTCTATCAGCTAACATTATCCCACAAAGATAACCAAGTCAGAGAGCATAATACACCAGCTTATCTTCTCCGACATTTGCCCCCCAGACTGGAGAAACTCCTGTATTTAGACGGGAAGTAAGCATCACTCCCTCTGACTGACACACCACTAGGAGGAGATGCACAATGTGCTCTGAAAACCCACCGGGACCAAGTCACCCAAATTCCCACTGCCAGGAACAGTTGGCAAGGTGATCGTCAGCCACAGAACAAACTCTCTCCTTTGCTCTCCCGTACGCTCTGGGACTCAGAGGAGCAAATATTTTGGCCTGGTATTACTATCAAGCCGTTCCGACCCAAAATTACCTGGTTGCACATACTTGCTAAGAAAGTACCAATTTTCTGGCCAGGATCACATGTAGTATCTGACTCCAGATTTCTGTCTTCTACAGACAGGAGCTCTCACAAAAAAACAGTATTTAGAGAATTTTTGCCCTCTCCGTAAAATGTGAGGTAATATACCAGCAGAGAAGGAACCACCCCTCAAAAAAGTCACCTGCAACTTCTCCCCAAAGATGGTCAACGTCAGGCGTTCATCTAAGAAAGCTGCCGAAGCCAGAGAGTTGAGGATGTGCTCGGACAGCCAGAAGTAGAGCATTCGGGATTCGGACAGCAGAGTTGGGGAGAAAAGAGAGTCACTGAAGACATCAGAGTAGTTCTCGTACCGGACAAGGCCCTTTGAAGGAGAGCAAGTGTGTTGACAACGACAAGCATTAGGGAGATGGGACAAAATAACAATACTTGGGTTTTCTGCTTGTCACTTCAGGGCAAAGGGCTGGCTGGCTGGATTCAGAGCAGAGAGCAAGTGGCTCAGCTGGTCAGAAGGCTGGGATCGGACAGCTCAGCCAGGCTCAGCTGCCCACCTTGCAGACTTACCTTTGGCTGGGCGCAGACACGCCACATGGTGGCAAGGAGCCAGCCCTTCCCAGCCTTCCCAACCAATATTGCAGGCAGAAGACCTTTGGTCTCTGAGCAGCCTGGGTTACTTTACCTTGTGATGTGTTTCTAGGTAATTTGCTTTTATTAAAGGAACCGATGCAAGGGAGATATCAAGTTTGATATCTTCATCCTGGACAAAATTTGCTGCAGGAAGAAAACAAACCAAAAAAACCCTCACCTTAAATATGATGGTAAGCAGAGCTTGCGACATTTGCTTTTAAGACTTGCTGCAGAGCACTAATGAAGGTGACCCAGCAGTTATAAAAGGAGCATGCAGAAGCACAGGACTGGGGGTCCAGGACGTTTGGGTACTAGTCCTGATCTTGCCTCTGCAATTCAGTTTCCCCGGTTGGGAAAGAGGGATAATTACTCTTAGTTTTACATTCCTGTCCTTTTCCCTGATATTTGGGACTGCGAATTGGGGGAAAATCTTTGGCAGGCAGATACAGATGTTTCAATATCTCAACCATAATGCTTCACTGCACGCTCACGTTCTGGCTAACAACCATCAGTCCTTCTGCAGCTATCCTGCTCCTCTGGTCACTACATAACAAAGGAGAAATATCTTATGAACTGAAATGTGTCTTTCAGTCAGTGCAACCACTCTTAAAAATCAACCTGAAGCAGACAATTCAAAGTGTAAGATTGCAAAGGTGTGTTTTGCTGCTGCCTCAGGGCTTGGGATCCCAGACATGTTTTCAAAGGACTTTTTGATGGATATGGTTACTGCCCTGCTGGTGCCTGGCTAAAACATTATAAGCTGCATGTAGAAAAGGAAAGCAGAAAGACAAGAATATTTACCTGCTAGGTCATGTATAAAATTTGCCAGCATCTGAGCAAGAAAATTGATTTCCTCACAAACCTACAAGAGGAAAGAAGAGAAAAACGTGGCGGGAAGGAGGGAGATTTTGGGTTGTGCCATGCCAATATCTGGGCTCTGCTCAGTCTCATGAGCGACAATCTCACATTGGCATAACTCCACTGATTTCACTTAAGCACCTACTTCAGGAGCGCTTAAAATCTATTGCCTGAGGGACCTGGCTGCAGGTTGGGCAGCACCACACCAGTACTGTGCTCCAGCACTTGACCCTCCAAATCCCACATCTGGTAGAGGGAGGTTTGGGGGGCCACAAAGCTGGCCTGGGAATTGGCACAGCTGAGGGACAGGGACATGGCCACCTTCACTGGTGTCACACGCGCCAAGGAGGGGATCTTCAGACAGGAGAAGTAGAGCTGGGCCATGCGGGGAGATCTGCTGGAGCTGTCAGTCTGAAGCCAGAGCCATTGGAGATCCCAGCATCAGCGCAGCCTCCCAACTTATTGGAGTTTTTGTTTGTTTGTTTATTTGTTTTTGTGGATTCTTCTCATTTGTGATATTTTTTGCAAACCCAAAAGTGCGGGCATATATGAGCAGAGCGCGGAGGAGCTAGCAGCGTACAAACCAACCTTTGCTTCATCCACAGGTGGTGACTGATCTTACCTCGCTCTTGAGAACAAGCTTCAAAGTAAAGGCAATGAAATCTGTGAAGAGCTGCTTCAGCCAGCCCGGCCTGCGCGAGATGGAGCACGGTGAGAGAGACGCCCGGCAGAGCCCACGGCGGGCGACCCTTGGGCCAGAGCGCTTGGGACCCTGCCGCCCTGCAGCTCTGCAAGCTAAGCCCCTTGTCCCCTTGGAGGTGAAGCGCCAGCTTGTGGAAAGTCAGGTAGCAATCCGAGGCATCAGCAGCCACCTGGTCCTCCTGGCACACTGCATAGGACAGAAAAAAGAAAAAGCAAGCAGTGACAGCCGATTTGCTCCTTAGATGAGGATGAGGAGCTGGAGCTGGAGCAGGGCTTCGCTGGAGCGGGGCCAGCCAGGGCTCCCTGCCTGGGGGTTTCACCACCGAGCCACATGAAGGACACTGCGGGCATCAAGCATGTGTGTTTGGAGAGGTGCTGCACTTGGCCCAGAACCACAAGTCCCTGTGAAGGTTTCCAAAAGACTCAGGACAGTCGAAGTCGGGGCAGGCAGGACTGCTTTACACCTGGATGCAGAGTTTCTGCTTGCAGCGCCCCGAGTCCAGCAAAGCTAGTCTACGGAGCACCTCTCTCCACGCTTCAGATACCTCTCAGCTTCACTAGCTGCTGTCATCAGTGACTTGGTTGTGCCCTAAAGTCACCTGGAAAATCTGGGCAGTAGCATACAGCCCACGAGCCAGAGTGGGTAGAGAATTAAGTCATATTGCAGAGAGCTTGGAAATGGTAATATATTGTCACTGAGAGCTTCGTGCTACTATCCCATTGGGAGCTCTCCAGAGGTTGGAAAATGTATTTGGAGGCAAATAGGATAAACCACCTCCCTCTCACCCCGTCAGGGAGGGTGGAGGAACGCAGCTGGCTTCTGACCCTTTTGGTCTAAGCCGTGAGCTATTGACCTTCCCAAGGAAGACGCTTCATTTGCCATAGCACACCTCAGGCCTGACCTGGAGATAGCCAAAAAAGCAGACTGTAAGGATGTTCAAACCTCCATTTAGTTCACTCTTTTGAGAACTTCCCAAATTTTTTTTCAAGTCATCCTGCACTGAAAGAGATAAAAGCCAGTCCCAAAGGTAGGACAGAAGGCTGGGCAGTTCTTTGTGTAAATCGGCATTATCTTGCTACAATGATTTGTACCAGCTTCCTCTGCTTGGTCTGTTAAAGCAGAGGAAGCTCTACCAGCTCTTCAAGGACCAGGTTGTCTCTTGCCCTGGGGGCATGGAAGAGCACAGGGCCATCTCTGGATGCCATCCGATCACCACGGAGGAGAGCGGGGCCAGCACCGGCTTCCCTGCTCCCAGTCATGGCACATCCTGCTGCCTTGGAGGAAGCCCACGTGCAGAGCACCTAAGCAGCTAGTGGCCCCCAGCTCTTACTTACTCAGTTTAATGTTTATCTGGAGATCAATTGAAGACTCGATTTCAAAATCGACTGAATGAAAAAGCTGCAAACTGCAACGGAAGAACAGAAAATGTTCAGCAACCACACATCCCCGTGACGGGAGCAGGTCTCCTTGACTGGGCGCCAGCAGCGGGCTGGGTTTTCTAACACTGTTGGCAGCAGTCCTTGCACGATGCTGTACAAAATGCCAGTGTGCTGCAGCCCAGCACAAAACCTCTGGCTTCAAACCATTGCAAACCATTGCCATAGCAGCACTTAGGAGAATGGGAGCATTAAGCCCGTTTTTTTTTTCACGCCCAGATCTTTGCCCCTTGGACAAAAAGGGCACGGGACCGTTGCCCCAAACCCGCTCCTTTCTGGCGGTAGTTCTGAAGGGTGGTGGGCTTCAGGGTCTCCAGGAGGCAGCTCTCCCGGAGGGAGGGGCTTTGCCACAAACCCACCACAGTATCCTCCTTCCCCGCCCCAGCTAGCTCAGGGAGGGCAGTACTGGGCAGGAGACTAGCAGGAGAAAATTGGGGAGAAGCAACAAAGGTGGTGGGAGAAAGCCAACTGCAGATTTTGCCCTTCTCGCCTCCTCGTGCGACCAAAAGCAATAAGAGGCAGCGTGAGGAGGCTAAGCAGCATTGCTATATAGAGCCTGAACGATGCAAGATTTTAAGCAGCTCTGCCCCAAGAGCTATCAGAGAGGGAACCTGCAGTTCATACAGGAGCAGTGAAGCAAGCAGGCGGTTCCTGGGTACTTACAACCACACCCCAGCGTAGCCGTAGTTCAGGGTCCCTTTGAAGACAGCTGTCACATTTTTAATGGCGATGTCAATGGCATCATTTTCCTTGAGCTCCACCTCACTCTGCTCGATGGACAAGTTGTTGACCTGGATGCTGGAAAGAACAAGAACCCAGCGCGTCCCCACCCCCGGGGCTGTTCGTAGTGCAGGGCCCCCAGTTGCGGCAGATGCGTTCACTCTCGAGCACATGGCGTTTCCAAAGGGGCCTGTGCCTCCCCTGGAAAGTGCTTGGGCAGCTTTGCAAACTAGAGGGGCTGAGCACAACGGCCAGACTGCTTTCGCTCAGCCTCGTGCACTGCCCCCTGCAAACCGAGGTCCTCTCCATTCCTGCAATGTTTCAACAGGAGCACAGGGATTGCTTGAAACGTCCTGAAAGACGTATAGAGCCATGTGCTATGGAAAAAGCCAGGTTTTATTGCAGTGCTCTTTTGCAGTAGGAAACCCCTCCTATATTTGCATCACTACACATGTTTTCCCCTAATAACAGTCCGGTTAGTAACAGAGCAAAACGCAGCCTCGTTTACCACAAAATGTTTACAAGTGAAGTCATGCTATAACGAGTGGTTTTGTCAGTGCCAGGCTGCGTCCCATCTTTGCACTGAATAAGCCACTGGCACCATCTATCGGCGAACGGACCATCAGGAGAGCTCAGAAAGCTCTTTACAGCCCCCATGGACAGAGCTTTCCACTGCAATTTTCAGAGGTCTGCTCTACCACGTTGTTCTTTGCTGTCTCCCCTGGAAGAGGAACAGCTCCTAAATAACATGTCAGCAACCTAAATCTTGCAATGCAAATTATTTGTCTGAAAGGCATAGACTAAATCTTGCCACGCAAATTATTTGTCTGAACAGCGTAAGTTGGAAAGGGCATTTGCCCTGGCAGAGCTTGCCCTTTGCTTTAAACAGGAATTACTGCACCGAAGCTTCCTCCCAGGCAGGTTTCTGTTCCCCTCGGTCAGCCTTCACCTCCCACAGTGCGGAAAGGAGCCCAGAAGCGTGCAGCGACACTCACTTTGTCAGCCCGTAGGCCACCTTGCCGAGGAACCGCACAGACCTTTCGCCGGTGACGTTTGGGAATTTGGCATTTCTGAACGCCGCTTGAATGACCTGCGCTGTTTCCTGGTTTACTGTACGTGGAAGAAAAGGACAAAGATAACAAACTGCAATCTTTCCTAGTTACAAAGTTGGTCCACGTGCTGCGTTAAAGCACTACGGAAGAGCTTTATCGACCATCAGACTTAAGGAAGCACTAGAAGTAGCATCGTAGTAAATAGAAAAAAAAAAAAAAGCCATAACTTCAGCAGCAGTGCACGTGGCTCGACAGTCACAAATAAGCCATTTCCCAGGGAATCAAGCTCTGCTTTCCCACACCTGACCTGCACTTTAGGGGCAGATTTTGGAAAGGTCCAGGCCATGCCTGTCCTTCCACTACACAAGCTGTTGACTTTACCCCAGTGCTTTGCTACAGCAGACTCCCAACAAGCTGAGTGATGCTGAGAGCAGGAGAGATCTGACTCCAAGGAGATCCTGGATTCATCGAATCCGATGGTCCCTGATAGCAGCAAGTAATACCATTTGCCCCCTCTCTGGAAAGAGAGCCAGGGAAATGAGAGAGCCTGCAAATCACCCAAACTGCAGTCAACTGTTGGTTCTCTAAAGAAAAGCCTCTGGAACCGAGGTTTCTGTACCCATTAGTCTAAAGTTATTCAGCCTGTTCCAGCCTCAACTTCAGGAACATCTCAGGCAAAGTATGAACTTTGTACAGGAACATTTCCATCGAGAAATACCCACTCTCCGTTTGGCCCAGCATCCTTCTCCGCAGGTACCACCAGCAGAGGGGATGGGACAGAGCCATTTCTGCTCACCCGTTGCCGAAGCACTAGTTATTCCCCCCCCAACCTCCACTGCAGAGCCCCAAACCCTTGCAAAAAAACTGCGGGCAAAGGAGAAACACCACTTCTCCACCTCTGCAGCTGGATGCTGAGAGGTGAGATTGCAGCAAGGAACCGAACATTTTCTCGCTTGCGCTGGTTCTTCCATCACTCCAGCCCCCCAGGAGCAGCTTTGCTAAACACTTGTTGAAGGACAAGCATTGGGTGCAGTTTTCCAGCTCCTTTCAGAAGCTGTGGCTGTTCAGGTCATACAGGTGCCCATGGTTTAACCTGTGCTCCCACGCAGATGTTAATACATCTCACTAGAAAAATCATTTCTACAAGAGCTGCAGGAAGCAAGGAACATCCTCACCTGGCTGATCTTCCATCACTCGTTTCTCCTGCTAGGGAGGGAAGAAAAACAGCCCAGTATAGCAGGGACTTACACAGCAATGCCGCGGGCTTCGTCATCCTGCAGACGATCCCTGTGACGCTGTAAGGTAACGGCCCAAATTCGCAGGCTGCTGTCGTGCGCACAAGCGCTAGCAAGATCCCGAAGGTCCCCAGCCTCATCATGCCAGCCCAGAGTATCCTTGGCTGGAGCAGAGAGCGGAGACAAGATCGACTGATCCTTGGCTGTGGCAAAGGCTGCTTTCACACCGCCAAGCAGAGCTCATTCAGAGCAGGACATGACCTGCTTCCTCTAGTTATCAAAACTCATCACACGTTTCCTAATCTTCCTATAGTTTCCTTAACCCTCTTCAAGTCACACGCTGCCTTCCTCCCACAGCAGGCGCTTGGTTGCAGGATATAGGTCTCCTGCCAAGGCCACTCTGACACGGGAGAGCTGCATCGGTGCTGGCGGAGAAGGTGGGTGCAGAGATTGGAGGGGGAAAAACTAGAGGGAGCAGCCTCCAACTTTGCCCATAGCAAGTTCATCAGCTGCTCTTAGCAGAGAAATTTCTATGTTATAGGGGTGATTGTGTTTTCCTGCAGTAACTTCTCTGCAAAGCCCTGTTTAAAGGTCCCAGCCTGCTTTATTAACTACTACCCCCACCCCTGCTTTTAGGTACGTGGCAGGGAAACTGAGGCATTATCCCAGGAAGAGGGGCCCAGGGGGACCCTCCGGCTGCTGCCACGTGAGCCACATCTCCCACCTCCCTGGAGAGGACCGTGACTACAGGACTGTCGCTCCCATCACCCTGGGGGGCTCTCAGCCTCTCCACTTGATGGTGGCTGTTTTGGGGACCAATTGCCCAGTTTCCCACCTTCCAAACGAGGAGGAACCTGCCGAGCCAGAGCTTTTCTCATTTGCTATTTAGAAAATATTTATTTAGAAAATATTTGAAACAAGTTCAAATCCACTCCTCATGCACCCACAGCTGCCCTGCACCCACAACACAGTGCTGGGGCCCATCACAAAATAAGCTCCAGGACAAAACAGACCCAGGTTATTTCAGCAACCAAGGGGGAGCCAGGATCCACTTTACCCCTGCGACCAAGGGAGAGGAAAGCGCGAGATCTTCGCGATGCTCGGGGAGCCCGCTCGGCCGCCTGAG